CCCCCACCCTCACCCTCACCCCTGTTAATAGGGAAACAAGAATTGGAAAGATTAATTTCAAAAGTGTAACAATAATTCTGCCAATCAAAACATTTCAAAACGTCTCTTTTACTTTGCTTTCTCAATCAAACTTTCTTGTAGCTTTTACGGAACAAAAGTTTCATTATTTCTTAAAGATCTAGCTAGCTCGGTTTCCAAACAAAATCTTCCCGTTCCAGTTGAAAAAACAATAAATGCAGTAAAAATTATTTCGAAAGAAACATTTCTGAAGTTGGTGAAAATGTTACTTAATATTTGCCTAGAAAGGCATAAAACGCTTTCTACTCTAGATTGTGAAATTGCGGAGTAAAAAAGCGGAATAAAAATTATTTGGAAAGTTTCTACTATGGCAATTAATATAAATACCTTTTTTGCACAGCAGTCAGTTGCTACGATGACTTCTACAAAAGAGAAGACAAAGAAAACAATATATGTTTTCATTGTCAGACTTCAGAGCAATTTGAATAAAGGGTTCGTTCAGTGTGTATTTAAAGCCGTCTTTTCAACCAGGTGTTTGTCTCAAAATGTCCAATCAGGCGTATTTTTACGATGTAATTAAGTGATAGATAATTCTTTTGCAAACTGCTCAAGCAAATTTATTTCTTCAGTTGTTGAACATTTTCCAATAGGTATTTATTTTATGATATTTCATGGAGGGGATATTTCATAAAGGGGATATTTCATAGAGGAGATATTTCATAGAGGGGATATTTCACAGAGGAGATATTTCATAGAGGGGATATTTCATAGTGGAGATATTTCATAGATTGGATATTTCTAAGAGGGGATATTTCATAGAGGGGATATTTCATAGAGGGGATATTTCATAGATTGGATATTTCTAAGAGGGGATATTTCATAGAGGGGATATTTCATAGAGGATATATTTCAAAGAGGGGATATTTTATAGCGGTAATATTTTATGTAGAGGATATTTCATACAGGAGATATTTCATAGAGGGGATATTTTATAGAGGAGATATTTCATAGAGGGACTATTTTATAGAGGAGATATTTCATAGAGGGGATATTTCATAGGGGGATATTTCATAGAGGAGATTTCATAGAGGGGATATTTTAAAGAGGGGATATTTTATTGCGGTAATATTTCAATCAGGAAATAATTCATAGAGGTGACATTTCACAGAGGGCATATTTCATAGTGGGGATACTTCATACTGGGGATATTTCATAGCGGTGATATTTAGGGGATATTTCATAGAGGGGATATTTCATAGAGGGGTATTTTCTAGAGGGGATATTTCATAGAGGGGATATTTTAAAGAGGGGATATTTTATTGCGGTAATATTTCAATCAGGAAATAATTCATAGAGGTGACATTTCACAGAGGGCATATTTCATAGTGGGGATACTTCATACTGGGGATATTTCATAGCGGTGATATTTCATAGCGGGGATATTTCATAGTGGGGATATTTCATAGCGGGGATATTTCATAGTGGGGATATTTTATAGCGGGGATATTTCATAGTGGGGATATTTCATAGCGGGGATATTTAATGGAGGAGATATTTTATAAAGGATATATTTCATAAAAGAGAAATCTTATAGAGCAAATATATCATAGAGAGAATATTTAATTTTAGGATATTTTTTAGGGGGAATATTTTATAGGGAGAATATTTTAGGTGAGGGAATATTTAATCAAGGGGATATTCATAGAGTTTGCTAGTTTTTATTAAATATCATACTGTTATCAATTTTATTATTGATAAAATTCTAATTTCAATATTGTGGAAGACGATGCCTGGCCGCCTAAAACACGTTTACCGGAATGAGATAGAACTGATACTTTCATTGTACTTTCAGTCTAACATGTGTGATCTTGATATAACCTAATGTTCTGAACCCTCTAGTAAAAGTTATAAGAAATATATATACTGGAAGTTACTTTATGCGTTTCATTAGAGATCGACTTCACGTCCTCTATAATATTTTCTTTAACTTTGTAGTTAAAATATAAAATGGTAAAGAAGTGAGCTATATTTAAGATTATTTTAAACAAGTGTTCAAATCTAGGGTCTTAGTAACAGCAAGTAGTTCTTTGTTAAGGAAATTAATAAATTTAAATGCGTTGTTCTTAGATTTTTCAATCCAGTTGGTGATTATCTTAGCGCGTACTTTACTCGAGTACTTTACTCGAGTACTTTACTCGAGTACTTTACTCCTACTTTACTCCTAGCTTCACTACTTAAACAAACCCACATTGTTTGTTTAAAATTTAGAACATATTGGAACATATTGTAACATATTGGAACATATTGAAACATATTGGAACATATTGGAACATATTGGAACATATTGGAACATATTGCAACATATTGGAACATATTGGAACATATTGGAACATATTGGAACATAATGGAACATATTAGAACATATTGGAACATATTGGAACATATTGGAACATATTAGAACATATTGGAACATATTGGAACATAATGGAACATGTTATAAATTTGTGAGAAATCTGGAACTAGGCTTTTAGTCCACTTCACGTCCCCTTTCCTTGAGTTTTTTCTTTAATTCAGATGGTCCATACTCTTTTCCTGGGTTCATGTAATATGTATAATAAAATGTTCGAAATGCTTCAGGCAAAAAATACCAAATGCGTTCAAAAGTAAATTAATCAAGGAAAACTCCCATTTTATTACTTATAATTAAAAGAATAAAGGAATCCACGATTAAGCTATTTAGATGATTTCAAGGTTCAAGTTAAAATCTAACTAAAAAAAAAAATATTTTATTTTGTCAGATTTAGTAACAACAAGTTCTCTGTGAAAGGAACTGTAAACTAACATCAAGGTGATCCTTCATTTAAAGAGTTGCTGCAGGATTCACAGATATCCTTGTTATTCTATCTCAAAATGATGTTTTTTAATTGTGAGTCCCTTAGAAAAGTAAATTGCGTATTTATTCATGTAAATTACCAGAATTCAACTCCTATTAAGATAGAACAACGAAGATATCTTCCTTTTTGTTAATCAGATAAAACGTAAAGGGTACAGTTGAAACACCTTCATTTTTTATACTTCCTGAAAAGTTGTTCTATTGAAAAAAATGCTTTTAATGGAAAAATAAATTTGTTTATTTTATTAAGCAAAAGAAATGTAAAAAATGTTAAATGCTTTTTTGATAAATCAATGGATATATTATAAATCAATGTATATACGATAAATCAATAAATATCGGAAAAATCAATGGATATATGAAAAATCGACGGATATCTGATAAATTAATGGATATCTGGTAAATCAATGGATACATGATAAATCAATGAATATATGATAAATCAATGGATTTATGATAAATCAATGGATTTATGATAAATCAACGGATTTATGATAAATCAATGGATATATTATAAATCAGTGGATATATGATAAATCAATGGATATATGATAAATCAGTGGATATCTGATAAATCAATGGATTTATGATAAATCAATGGATACATGATAGATCAATGGATATTTGATAAATTAATGGATATATGATAAATTAATGGATATCTGATAAATCAATGGATTCATGATAAATCAATGGATATTATGATAAATCAATGGATACATGATAGATCAATGGATATTTGATAAATTAATGGATATATGATAAATTAATGGATATCTGATAAATCAATGGATTCATGATAAATCAATGGATACATGAGAGATCAATGGATATATGATAAATTAATGGATATATGATAAATTAATGGATATATGATAAATCAATGGATATATGATAAATTAATGGATATCTGGTATAAATTAATGGATACATGATAAATCAATGGATATATGATAAATTAAAGGATACATGATAGATCAATGGATATATGAAAAATTAATGGATATCTGATAAATCAATGGATATATGATAAATCAATGGATATATGATAAATCAATGGATATATGATAAATCAATGGATATATGATAAATCAATGGATATCTGATAAATCAATGGATATCTGGTATAAATCAATGGATATCTGGTATAAATCAACGGATATCTGGTATAAATTAATGGATATATGATAACTCAATGGATATCTGGTATTAATCAATGGATATCTGGTATTAATCAATGGATATCTGGTATAAATCAACGGATATCTGGTATAAATTAATGGATATATGATAACTCAATGGATATCTGGTATAAATCAATGGATATCTGGTATAAATCAACGGATATCTGGTATAAATTAATGGATATATGATAACTCAATGGATATATGATAAATCAATGGATATATGATAAATCAATAGAGATATGAGTAAAATAATTCTACAGATGTATGAATGGTCTTGATTTTTTTGCTCTAATGAACAACATCCATTTAGATTAAATCTTTAAATTGCATGATAAGTGAAGGTAACAGATGTTCAGTACCAAATTACAAATTTTCACAAAATTGCGAAAACTTAACATAATTATTTAACATTTATGAGTAAATCTTTCTCTGAGTGTATGCACAAAAAAATTAAATATTTTTTAAATCCATAAAATAGAAATATGTGGATTTTGAGTAAAAAAAAGTAGAGAATGAGATATGTTTAAAAAGTTATCATTCCACTGTTAAACATTTTTTAACGAAAATTAAAGAAAAAGGATAAAATAAAATCATTAGAGGGCGAGATTTTTTAATCCAAAAACAGGGGGAGCAATGACTCAGAGTCCTTTAAGGGTTGAGCAATGCTTCCCCTTGGTAAATCTTGCTTCTCAGAAAACCACTTGTATATGTGTCATATTCTAGGTGATTTGGGAATTCTTTAAATTAGGAAGGACGGCATATCGGTGTGTTCAGTTATTTTTAATATCGTTTGTGAACAACCCATTTTGGTTCGTTAAAAAATTATTTCATTCGTTCTCAAAAATATCGTTCATTTATTCAGTGACCGATTGTACAGTAAAATCGTTTGTTTGGTAAAATATTTCGTTTAATGAAATCCTCTGTTTAGTAAAAAATAACCATCTTTTTAAGTTGATTGGAAAAAATCGTTTGTTTTGTATTTATTTTTAAAAAGTTTGTTCCAAAAAATCATTTTTTTTAAAGCGATCGTTTTTGTCAAAATCTTTAGAAAAATCAGTTTGTTAGGTAATAAAAGATCGTTTTTTATGTACCATTGAGCGATTTTAAAACATTCATAAATGTTTTTTTAAAAATAACGAACAAAATTGTAATCTGTAAATTCCTTTTGTTTTTTTCTTTTTTTTTTAAAAAAACGATAGTTTTTCGTTTCTCTAAACGATCCAAGTTTATTTTTCTGAACACCATTTTTCACGACAAATTTTGTCGTTCTCTACAACGATGTGCATCTCTAGCAATACGGTATTGTATATATATTTCTAAGGTTTAATATTGGTACTTTTTATCTAATTATGAACATGGCAAAAATGTTGATCATTTTCTCGCATTAACATCCAGTGTGCTCCTCAGAGATTTTGTATGTATTACAGGATTGCCCAGAAAGGGCGCGACTTCAGAGCAACTGCACAAAATCGCATTCTTTGTCAAGCTCATGGTTCCCTGCACCTGTAAACTTAACTTCTTGAAAAGTGAAACATGTTTAAAGGGACAGTTCACTTATTTGGGTAATTTCAGGGTAAACTAAACAGCCTATTCGCTCTTGATTGGTAAAAGTCTTACTTTTCAAAGACAACTGTGTCCGGAGAAAAAGACGATTTTTCGTTCAGAATTTGAGCGGAAAGGGACGGTCCCTCTCTATAGACTATAGGCTGTTTAGTTTACCCTGAAATTACCCAAACAAGTGAACGGTCCCTTTAATATAGTAAATGCTTAAATTTGTGATTATTGCTACAAACAACAAAATCTTTGTAATCAACCGGGCTTTTATTTTTCAGAAGTCACAAAACGTTTTATTCTGATCCTTAGACCCCTTATTTTCTGCTACTACCATCAAATCGTATAAACCTTTTAAAAATCTAACATTGTTCATTTCAATGATTTATTGTTAAACTGTACTAATTTTTAGGTTTGAAATAAACA